AACTCATATACATTTTTTTTAAAAACACGTGCAGAATATTTCGTGAAGCAGTTCGGGTCAAGCGTGCTCGACGCGTTTCTCATATCCATCCCATGCATGCGGCTGGGCGTCACTCATCGTCACCCTTGCACCCGTATCATGGCATATCTGTCACTGGCACTGTATTTTGAGACCACCAGAGTCGATGTAATGTCCACCCCTCTGTACTGGCACAGCGCACCCTCCCCTATTTTTGTAGCTGGTGGTCAACTAACTGTCTCTAGTATCGTACGTTTTGATGCACTCTGTGTTTATGGTTTGTTGCTTCGACACGTATGTTTGTTTTTTCCAGCATGCTAACCCTTTTGTTGGGCGACGTCTAACTGAGTGGATCAGGAAGCATGTGAATTATTAATCTGATTATGCATTTATCCTCGCATATTTACTGGTTTTGTTAACCCAAAAGAATAATGTTGTTAATCTTGTATGGTGTGCTACAATCTCTTATGGTTATTTCTTAATTTAAAAAAAAACGAAGTAGTTAAAATATAACCGTTACAATACTAAGTAATTAATGCACGGGGGAACAAATTTCACTGCTGTAGTTTGAAGTTGTATTTCAATGTTCCGAAACGGTTCCAACCGAACTTTATAGGAATGGGACAAACCAGACAAACCATTATGGTGACGTCTGCCTTCTTACACTTATTTCTTGACAACCCATATTTTTCTTGCTGAAAATCGCAAATCTCTCAGGGAGTTCGAAGGGGGTTGATAAAAGATTGATATCAGCTTTTACGTCAATTTTTGTTTGTTTGCTATTGAAATGAGTTTTGGGGAAGATATTCGCCATTCGTTTGGTCGTTGTGGCAATAACCGAATCGTCCCGACGCGCCTGTACTAAGAAGGCGCGTCGCTTCGATATCGTTTCCCTGACGGGTGGGTTGCGGTGTGCGCAGGGGCAGCGCCAGGGGCAGGGGCAAGGCAACCTACACCGCCGCCAGCGAGACCAGCAGGGGCACGCCCTCCTCCGTCGCGTAAGTACCGTCCTATCATGGGCCCCCAAACTAGAAATAAACCATATTCGTCTCACACTCAAAATACTTACTTCTTAATTTGAGCATCGCCTTGAAACTCTTGTGAATGTCATCCTTTTATTCAGCGAAACATTCCTAAAATAAGACATTGCATCTCGAAAAAAATCAAGGCAATCCTCTAGTTAAGAGCGTAGTTTCTGGTAGACCCGTAATCCGGATTAGTTCAAAAAACACGAAATTTAGAAATAATAGCTCTGAATATACTCTGCCTCCGTTTTGCCTGCACGAACGCTCCTGCGAGACCAATGGGCAGGTAAGTCCGAACCTCTGGGGCTTGGGCTGGCCATGGGCCGCCTGCTAGCGCTCGCGACCACAGGCTGGGGCTGCATGGAGATGCCGATTGACTGCTCAAAACGGCCGGCATGTAGCTCGTATCGGTTTCCTTAAAACGGCAAATCTAACCAAAGAAAAAAATATTCTTGCGCATTTTCTGCACGTTTAAAGTTATAATGTAAATCAATCTTATACATTTTACGGAAGCGTGAGCAGCTAACAAATAACCACTCACGCGGGTGGTTCAGAGAATCGACCTACCCCTGACCGTACCGTACCGCACCGTACCCAGGACTGAGACTCTCTTCCTGTTCGTGATCGTCAATGGGGTCGCAGAACATGCCTCTGAGCTGGCCTCTTCCTGTTGCAGACGTGGTTCCAGACCCACCCTCAAGCCTTCTACTGCCATCGTGTCCAAGGCGCAGGAGTTCATTGACGTCTACAAGTTCCCTCCCTCCAGGTATGCGAGTTCGAGTGTGAGAGCTCGTGCATCGCGCGTTACCACACTACGTGTTCGAGCTAACTTGACATATTGTTTCAACACGTGCTGCTGCTTCTAGGCCCGAGTCGGTGTACCCGACGCCAACCCCGGATAAGTCTGCCGCCAAGTGCCGAAAGGACGTCTGCCTGCTGCCCGACTGCAACTGCGGTGGGAAGGACATCCCCGGTGCGTACATGCCACTAACGCTTCAGGCGATCACTCTTCTAAAAAGAAAAAACCCTCAGTTTACAGCTAGAGTTACGAACGATTATAAACTATTCGTCAAAAACCCTGGGGTTAAGCATGGTTAATGTGAAATGCCATTCGATTCGTAACTGCGAAACAGTTTTCGGTGACTCAGAGCCATAACCCACGGAAATTCTACGTAATTTGACAACAATGAACTGAAACATGATTATTTTTCTGTCAAAATACCGATTCTATTATTTCAAGATACGAAAGGTAATTTTCGTAGCCAGTAAGCGTTTGTTGTACGGACAGAATCGCAACCTAACGGACTTTATCACTCCACACATCGTAACGAGTCTTGTAGTGACGAGTTTGTTTTGGCGATGTCGACTGGAGTACGGCAAGCAGCGCACCGCGAGGTCTCGTAAGTGTTTCGCTGCCCTAACAAAGACAGACGCATTGACCCCCCCGTTGCTGACGCGTAGGCGACCTGGCTCCCGAAGAGGTACCGCAGATCGTGCTGCTGACCTTCGACGACGCCGTCAACGACCTGAACAAGGGCCTGTACTCGGACCTGTTCGAGAAGGGCAGGACCAACCCCAATGGCTGCCCCATCGCGGCCACGTTCTACGTGTCTCACGAATGGACCGACTACGGGCAGGTGCAGAGCCTGTACGCCGACGGCCACGAGATGGCCTCGCACTCTGTGTCGTAAGTGGAGTCCTGCTCGGCCCTGCCTGGCCTGCCCGGAGACTAAGCCTGACGCTTGCACGAGGCGCGCGTGTGTGTGGTTTTGTGTGCGTGTGTGTTGGGAAGCTGCTGTGGGCGTTTTGTTTGCTTGCTCGCTCATACTCGGATTTCTGTTTCCTTCCCCTTTTTTCTCTCTTTTTTTCTCTCTCTATCTCTCGCCTCCTGCCCCTGTCGCCTGCCCCACTCGCCCCTCCCCCTCCCCTCAACAGGTGACCTGCCCCCCGAAGAGGTGCCCCAGATCGTGCTCCTGACCTTCGACGACTCAGTCAATGACCTGAACAAGGGCCTGTACTCGGACCTGTTCGAGAAGGGCCGCACCAACCCCAACGGCTGCCCCATCGCCGCCACCTTCTACGTGTCGCACGAGTGGACGGACTACGGGCAGGTGCAGAGCCTGTACTCGTCCGGCCACGAGATCGCCTCGCACTCCGTGTCGTAAGTGGCAGCCAACCCGCACCCTGGCACCAAGTCACGTGACCACCACCAGCACCCCCACTCCCCCCCTGAGGTCTCGGGCTAACACTCCTGTCCCCCCGGTGCATGGCATGCCTGCCGCGCGGCTCCGCTCCGCTTGCACGTCCTCTACTGCATGGTCATGCTGCACTGACCGTTTGAGTTACGATACCCGGCTGGAACGCGCGACTGACTCTTGCCCTCACCTCCCCACAGGCACAGCTTCGGTGAGCAGTTTTCGCAGAAGAAGTGGACTAAGGAGATCGCCGGCCAGCGAGAGATCCTGTCGGCGTACGGTGGTGTCAAGCAGGAGGACATCCGTGGCATGCGCGCGCCCTTCCTGGCCGTAAGAATTTCTCCGTTCTGGTTGTGTAGATGGTGCCTGCAGTGATGGCCACACGGTAATGGACGGTATGTGTTAAACCGCAGGTTGGAGGCAACAAGATGTTCAAGATGCTGTACGACTCGAACTTCACGTACGACTCGTCCATGCCCGTGTACGAGAACAAGCCCCCAAGCTGGCCCTACACGCTCGACTACAAGCTCTTCCACGACTGCATGATCCCGCCCTGCCCTACGCGCTCGTACCCGGGCGTCTGGGAGGTGCCCATGGTCATGTGGACCGACCTGAACGGAGGCCGCTGCTCCATGGGAGACGCGTGCTCCAACCCACCCACCTCCGACGGCGTCTACAAGATGCTCATCAAGAACTTCGAGCGCCACTACACCACCAACCGCGCTCCCTTCGGCCTCTTCTACCACGCCGCCTGGTTCACGCAGCCCCACCACAAGGAGGGCTTCATCGCCTTCCTGGACACGCTCGTGTCGATGAACGACGTCTGGCTGGTGACCAACTGGCAGGCGCTGCAGTGGGTGCGTGACCCTACCCCCGTCAGCAGGCTCGGCAACTTCCAGCCCTTCCAGTGCAACTACCAGGTCAGTGCGCATTTTAAACTTGTCATTGTCTACTTCCCTATTCCGCCATAGTGTCTCACCTCCCTCCTCTCCACAGGACCGGCCCCGGCGCTGCAACAACCCGAAGGTGTGCAACCTGTGGCACAAGTCGGGCGTGCGGTACATGCGTACCTGCCAGCCCTGCCCCGACGTGTACCCCTGGACCGGCAAGTCGGGGGTGCGAAACTCGCGAGTGGACAACGACATCGAGTAGGGCCCTGCCGACCCTGATTAAGTTATTTTGCTGACTCTGAGAGGCACTTTAGTTCTTTTTCAAAAACCTTTGTAAAGCCATATTATATTGTAATTTGTTGTGTGAATATCTCCCGTGAATCTTGCCCCTCTTGCCCGAGGCCGAGACGACACCCGAGGTCTCGTCTCAGCTTCGGTCTGGGCTCGACCGGCCTCGCCCAGTGCGAGCCTCTGTATTGTGTACAGGTGTGACTAAAGGTGTGCAAATAGTGTTTCCATGTGTGTGTGCGTGAGTGTGTGCGTGTGTGGTTGGGAGAGAATGAGAGGTAGGGTTCGTGTAAATGGAAAGGCATAAAGCCCATACTTAGTATTTTAATTTGTAAACAGATCATGTGTTGAGCAGTAGTGCCAGCAGGAGACATTAGGTTTCCACAATTTTAGGCTCTTTTTAAAAAATTTGAAAACCACTCTAGAAACTATGAAAATAAGAAAGACAAGTTGAACCTGCAGCTGGATGTTCCATCTGCAGAGACGAAGTTTGGTTTGGGTGGGGCACAAGATTTTGCTCATGTCCTTTTGTCTGTGATTGGTTGTGCGTAAAGGTCGCTGTGGCCCTCGCGGACACAAGTGTGTCAGTGTGTATGTGTGTGTGTGTTACCAGTAAGTTTAAGTCGCGCGCCACAAGCCGTTAGAACCTAGACTACCGGCATTCTTCACGAAATTTTGAAATGAGCGGAGGAAAACTTGTCGTTCAAAGTAGCAATTTGGTGTTACATTAACTGTTTATTAGTTTGTCCGTGGTGTACTATATATGTACGTAATCATGTGCAAAATAATACAAAGTCAGTGTATTGGAATATTTAAGCAGGTAGTTTACAGATTTCGATTTTACCAGTGAATACATGCAAAGTCCAATCCGTATTGTGTAGAACGACGTATTCTTGACACCAGTGATTCAAAATTTGACATGTCTTTTAGACACAGAATATTTCTTATTGTGGGTGAATTTTCAACAGATTTTTGATATCGGTGATTTCCTTGGCGTGTTACCGTGGAACGGCTGTGTGGAGCGATAAGCTGATCGTCGCACAGTTCGTGGAGAATGTTATTTATATGATAAAATTATTTTAATAAATAAAGATTACAAATAAGAAATCGTGCGTCTGTGTTTTGGATCTCCTCGCCCGCATACGCCTACTCACCCACACTATTTCTTACTACTTTTCCCATTCTAGTCCTACGTTAATCTTCGTACTGTTCGAAGCCTACAAAGTTTTATTGAATAGGCCTGCGATGACGATGAACAGTTCGTAATTGCAATAAAGCAATAGTGTTTCTGAAAAATAATAAGAAGGTATCCCGTCCCACACAAAAGTAAAAGAGACAGATTTTATGTTCAACTTTCGCTCATTCGGCACTAAAACAATCATCCCCCCCCTTTTCCCCTTTCCCTTTCCACGTATGTGCAGTAAAGATAGGCAGCCCCCGATTCTGCACGGGTCACGGGGCTCTGGACCTAGTCACGCAGTGTCTCTGGCCCAGGAACTCAGTGCCGGACAGCTGTACAGCGTCGCTCTCGGGGCGGCAGCGCCGTGCCGCCATCACTGCGTCTACACGGAACGGCCATGTAAAGCAAGTTGGGCTAGCACAATGTCATGTAAGGATAGTGTCGCCTGCGCGTAGCGATCTTATAGCCGTGATGCTGAGTGTGGTCTGTCCCAGGTGCGAGCTCCGTGCTGCGCTGTGCTGCGCTCCTCTCACTGCACGCGGTTCAGTCTGAGTTCTTCCCCGGTCGCGCGACCCCCTCCAAGTGGATCCCCTCCTATGCGGTTAGTTCACCAGCCTTCGATCAATAAGTAGTTTCCACTGAAAGATCATCCAGGAAGTACGTCTGTCGTTGTGAGCGCCTGGTGGGTAGGCAACACCTTGCCCGCAGTGCATGCGCGTACCGCGGGTTGGCCTACCCTCAGACCCGCAGGCGCTGAGCTTACATAGTTTGCCGAATGAATCTGAGATAAAAACGGACGTACTTTCAAGACCATTCCCAAGGGCGACAGACGTCCTCCTCCGGCAGTCGAGCTGGCGGCGCTTATGACCGTTGGATACAGACCCCACGCCTAAGGCTGGATGGGAATGGAGTGACACTGTTCGGGCCAACAGGGGCCGTTTGTCCTCTACATGGACCGGATGTACAGCTGCCCAACGCCCAGCAACAAGGAGAACATGTTCGAGGTGCACATCAGGCCGTCGCACTTTAGGACCCCGTCCCTCGTGCAGACGACTTTGCAGACCATCAGCGGCAACTGCACCTGGAAGGCCGTCGTGGACGATACATGGGCGGTGAGTGACACGGGGTGTGGGCTCTGGCTTCCATAGGGGCGGGTCTGATGAGTTCCCGGCCCTTGACCTTCTTCGAACTTTAGGGATTGTCTTGTCTTGCTCGCGATCAATACGCCACACGGTGGGTGACAAGTCAGATGATGAGTTTTAAGAAATAAGAAATAATGTACGCTGCTTCTTTGCAACCGACACCAACACTGTTAGAAAAGCCTACAGGAAATGTCTACAGTGCGCCCTGTCAATTTGTTACTAGGTCCGCGACTGTAATTTTGGATAGCACTTGACTTAGACACGGAAGTATACGGTTCATATCTGTACGGTCTGGCCTGTACATAAAATATAGAGGACCAACCGTAGGCAAACTGTACTTCCTCACAGCCTTTTTAACATTGAAACCTCCCACTACTTGTGCTCAGGGCAATTTGAAGTCGGATGTGTGGACCAACAATCAATGGAAGGAGAACTCGATTTTATATCGCATTCCCAAGGCCTTTTGTTCTACGGTGCGCACTAATTTTCCTGGGTTGTACGAAACGATTTATCAAGCTAATGCGTCGAGCAATGAACCTTGTAAGTTTCCCAAAGTAAGTATGTCAGGGTTTTTCGCATTCTCGCGAAAAATGCGAAGTAAACCAAACTTTTTTGTTTGTATCACCGTGGTTAAGTAAGGGAATTACTGTTTGCAGAAAGTAAACATCTTTGATAATACAACAATTAATTGGACTCTACCCAACTTTCCGCTTCTTCC